GCTGTCTCGAGCTCCTGAGCTCAAACTGTTCCCCTACCTTGGCCTTGCAAAGTGCGGGGATAACAGGTGTAAGCCACAATGCCCAGCCACCTGTTTTTGTAAATGAGGTTGTGTAAGAACATGCCAAATCTGTGGGTACACACAGGGCTCTGGCTGCCTACTTGGCCACAAGAAAGAGTTGAGTAGTTGAAACTGAGACTGTCTGGCTTTTTAAATCTGCTATCCTCTGTTCTAGGAGGATAAACAAGAATACGTATTTCTAATCCTGAGGGTAAGAAGCCCTTTTTAAGTGGTTTTCTGAACTCAAAAGTTCAGTTTAAAAAATAGTTGAAGGCTGGGTGCAGTGGCTTATGCCTGTAATCCTGGCACTTTGGGAGGCCAAGCCAGGTGGATCAGCAGTTCGAGACCAGCCTGGCCAACATGGTGAAACCCCATCTCTACTAAAAATACAAAAAATAGCTGGGCGTGGTGGCAGGTGCCTGTAATCCCAGCTATTCAGGAGGCTGAGGCAGGAGAATCATTCAAACCCAGGAGACAGAGGTGGCAGTGGGCCAACATTCTGCCACTGCACTCCAGCTGGGTGACAGGGTGAGACTCTATCTCCAAAAAAAAGGTTGCATTAGATAGTAAGAAATAATTCGGACATTGCCTGTGACCAGAGGACAGCACGGAGTGAAAAGACAAGGCACAGATAGGGACAGTGGCAAGATGGAGCCAGACAAGGGAACTCATTAACTAGTTCACAGAAGGAGCTGTAAAGAAAACGTCAAAAAAAATAAAAAAAAAAAAAATTAAAAGGCTGGGCATGGTGGCTCACGCCTGTAATCCTAGCACTTTGGGAGGCTGAGTTGGGTGGATCACCTGAGGTCAGAAGTTCAAGACCAGCCTGGCCAACATGGTGAAACCGATCTTTATTTTTTAAAAATAAAGAAAAGAAAAAGTCACGGGAGAGTGGGCAGTTTACCCAGCCTCAGAAATTAAATCATGAGAAAGCGCTCAGCCACACAACGGGCAGATGCTCAGGTCTGAGGGTCTTTGGCAGGGGGTGGAGTGTGTGAGGAGAGGGCACCCTGGTGGGGGCTGCCGTAAGTAGGTGACGGTTGTCAGATTGTCCCCTGTGCCCTAGCTATCTTGTTTCTCCATATGTCCTTTAGATAGATCAGAAAGGACGCTGCAGAGATGGACATGAGGATCCACAACAGCCAAAAACAAATGAGGTACAGCCAGCACACCCCTCAACAGAATTGCACTGTTTTGTGCAGTCTACACACACTGAGCCAGCTCTACCCAGGCCCAGGGACCTGCCTGTGAAGAATCCCTGCTGTCCTGGGTACGCATTCCAGTAGGGATGGCAGTCAGTAGGCAAGTAAAAGGTGGAGGCAGTGAGCACGTGTCAGGTGGGGGCATACAAGGAGTGGAGAGGAAAAGCCTCCCAGAGGCACCAGTTGAGAGCTCAGACCTATGAGGTAGCAAAAGGGTGGGGCTGGGTGCAGTGACTCTTACCCGTAATCCCAGTGCTTTGGGAGGCCAAGACAGGTGGATCCTTTGAGTCCAGAAGTTACAGACCAGCCTGGGCAACATAGTGAGATCCCTGTCTACAAAAAATTAAAAATTAGCCAGGTGTGGCTGGGTCGGTGTCTCATGCCTGTAATCCCAGCGCTTTGGGAGGCCGAGGCGGGCAGATAATGAGGTCAGGAGATCGAGACCATCCTCGCCAACATGGTGAAACCATGTCTCTAAAAACACAAAAAAATTAGCTGGGCGTGGTGGTACACACCTGTAGTCCCAGCTACTCGGGAGGCTGAGACAGGAGAATTGCTTGAACCCAGGAGGTAGAGATTTCAGTGAGCTGAGATTGCACTGCTGCACTACAGCCTGGGGGAAACTGTGATACTCCGTCTCAAAAAAAAAAAAAAAAAAATTAGCCAGGTGTAAGTGATGTGCACCTGTAGTTCTGGCTACTTGTGAGGCTGGGATAGGAGGATTGCTTGAGCCCAGGAGGTTGAGGCTGCAGTAAGCTATGATCATGCCACTGCTCTCCAGCCTGGGTGACAAGAGTATGACCATGTGTTTAAAAAAGGTAGGGCTGGGTGCGGTGGGCTCATTCCTGTAATCCCAGCACTTTAGGAGGCTGAGGTGGGCGGATCGTGTGGTCAGGAGTTCAAGACCAACCTGACCAACATGGTGGAACTGCGTCTCTACTAAAAGTACAAAAATTAGCCAGGCATGGTGGCGGATGCCCATAATTCCAGCTACTTGGGAGGCTGAGGCAGGATAATCGCTTGAACCTGGGAGGCAGAGGTTGCAGTGAGCCAAGATCACGCCACTGCACTGCAGCCCGGGAAACAGAGCGAGACTTCCTTTCTAAAAAAAAAAAAAAAAAAAAAGGTAGAGGTGTGGTGGTGGTAATGATGGCATATTATGGGTCTGTTTTGCTTGAGGTATGTGGAAGCTTGTGTAGAATGTCTTCCTATGGCACCTAAGAGTTCTGCATTCATAATCGCCTCCTTTAAATGCTACTAGCCACAGAGGGAGAGGTTGATAGTTGATTCTGTGCAAACTTCTGGTTTTTTGGTGGGGGGGGGGGTTTGTTTGTTTTTTTGAGATAGCGTCTCTTCCTGTCGCCCAGGCTGGAATGTAGCAGTGGCACGATCATCCCTCACTACAGCCTCTACCTCCCAGGTTCAAGTGATCCTCCTGCCTCAGCCTCCTGAGTAGCTGGAATTAGAGGTGCCCACTACCACACCCGGCTAATTTTTGTATTTTTAGTATAGAGGGGGTTTCACCATGTTGGCCAGGCTGGTCTCCAACTCCTGACCTCAGGTTATCTGCCTGCCTTGGCCTTCCATAGTGCCGGGATTATGGGCATGAGCCACTGTGCCTGCCCCTTTTTTGTTTGTTTGTTTTTAAACAGCTTATTGAATGTAATTTATATACCATGAAGTTTACCCATTTAAAGTGGACAGTTCATTGGTTTTTAGTATGCAGTACTCAGTTGAGCATTTTCGCCACCCAAAGAAGAAATCCTGTACCCATTAGCAGTCACTCGTCATTCCCCCAAACCCCGGGCCCTCGCAACAGCTGATGTACATTTTGTCTCTAGATTTGCCTGTTCTGGATGTTTCATTTCTGTGGAATCACACACCCCACCCTACAGCTGTGAGGTCTTTGCACCCCATATCCTGGTGTAGCACAGTCAGAGCAGAACCTGGCAACCGAGAAGAGCTCACAGCACCTGGTCTTGTGTGGTTTACTCTATGGTTTTTCCCTATAAAACTGGGCTTGCTCAGACACGTTCCGGCTGCAGCTGTGGGAAGTCCCCTGCCAGCTGGCTCTGGACCTTCAGACCCAGGCGAATCTTGGGAGAAGCTGGACAACTGCAGTTCACATCCTTATGTGTCCATAGCCAGTGACATCAGAGCCTGAGGCCGACTGGAGGCCTGGGCAGCTGTGACCTGCTGGGTTCTATTTAGTGAGCTCACTGTTGCTGTACAGTTACAATCAAGAGAGTTCATCCTGAATTCTGGCTCCACTTGAATGATGGGGCTGCCCTGTATGTGGGGATTCAGATGGGGGAGGGACACAGGTTGGCAGGACCAGAACTCTCCCAGTCAGTGTGGTTTCCACCCCATTGTCCCTGCTCCTGGGTACTTCTTGCCCCTCCCATCTGGTTCTGTGGATGCTTTGGTGGAGGCCCACCATCTGTACCATTTTCATAAATGGGGGTTGTCCACTGGCCTCTGGAGTGGGCCCCCCACTTCCTATGCTTTTTTCTAAATAATTATATTTCAGATTGGTTGTGGTTTTAACTGGAGGAACAATCTTGACACCTAGCTTCTTCATGTTATTAGGAACTAATATCTTTTTTTTTTTTTTTTTTTTTTTTTTTTTGAGACGATCTCACCTTGTCGTCCAGCCTGGAGTACAGTGATATGATCTTGGCTCACTGCAACCTCTGCCTCAGGGTTCAAGCAATCCTGCCTCAGCCTCCCTAGTAGCTGAGATTACAGGCATTCACCACCATGCCTGGCTAATTTTCGTTTTCTTAGAGACAGGATTTCACCATGTTGGCCTGGAAACAAAAAGGGGATCCTGGAAAGCCTAAGCTCCAGCCATGGCTTGCCTGAGATAAGTTCCCCGAACTGGTGAGGCAGCTTCTTGGTCCTCAGTGAGCCAGGCCCTACCACCCTACCCAATGGCCAGGCTGGTCTCAAACTCCTGACCTCAAGTGACCTGCCCACCTCAGCCTCCCAAAGTGTTGGGATTACAAGCATGAACCACCATACCCAGCCCACATAACATATCTTTTAAATGTAAACAGATATTGCATTTCTGAGATAAATGCAAATCCAGCAGAATGCATAAACCATGCATGGTTAGGATGTGTTTATTAATATTTTTAAGTTTTTACATCTAGGTTTATATAGAGATTGTCAAGTAATTTTTCATTTTCATCCTATTCGTGACTGATTTTTTAAAATTCTGGTAATGGTGCTGAGCACAGTGGCTCCTGCCTATAATCCCAAAACTTTGGGAGGCCTAGGCAGGTGGATCATTTGAGATCAGGAGTTTGAGACCAGCCTGACCAACACGGTGAAACCCTGTCTACTAAAAATACAAAAATTAGCTGGGCGTGGTGGAGCACAACCGTAATCCCAGCTACTCGAGAGGCTGAAGCAGGAGAATCACTTGAACCCAAGAGGCAGAGGTTGCAGTGAGCCAAGATTGAGCCACTGCACTCCAGCCTGGGTGACAGTGGAAGACTCAGTCTCAAAAAAAATTTAAAAATTCTGCTAATGCACAGAATGAGTTACCCTCCACTTTGATGCTACTTTTTATCTACTCAAGTTCCACACTGTGGTTCTACTGATGCCTAACAAGTGGATTTCTTGGAAATAATTCTGTGTGAAGTCTGGGTATGGTGGCTTTGTTCTTCTGCAGCTGGGGTGGCAATGCTCTGGCCTTACGCAAGGCTCTTGTCTTGTCCGTGTCCTCTGCAGGTCTGTGGGCTCTGGCACCACCTAAGCCCCCTGGGCATCTGGTCATTGCTGACACCTCTCCTTTGGAGCCACCTTGTCCCTGGCTAGACACAGTCGCATTTTCCAGTGCAGTTTTGGAAAGATGCTGCCTTTGGAGAAGGCGTTTGCTTCCCCTCGGAGCTCCCCAACCCCACCGGATCTGCCCACACCAGGGTTAGCAGCTGGAGTCCAGCAGGAGGAACCTGAGACCATCCCTGAGAGGACCCCTGCTGACCTGGAGTTCTCCCGCCTGCGCTTCCGGGAATTTGTCTACCAGGAGGCTGCCGGGCCCCACCAGACCCTGGCCCGCCTGCATGAGCTGTGCCGCCAGTGGCTGATGCCTGAGGCACGCTCCAAGGAGCAGATGCTGGAGCTGCTGGTGCTGGAGCAGTTCCTGGGCATCCTGCCTGATAAGGTCCGGCCCTGGGTAGTGGCACAGTACCCTGAGAGCTGCAAGAAGGCAGCCTCCCTGGTAGAGGGCCTGGCTGACGTTCTGGATGAGCCAGGTGGGCTGCCCCAGAGGAGAAGCATGACTCAGGGGAGATGGGGAGGGGATCCTGGAAAGCCCAAGCTCCAGCCATGGTTTGCCTGAGATAAGTTCCCTGTACTGGTGAGGCAGCTTCTTGGTCCTCAGTGAGCCAGGCCCTACCACCCTACCCAATGGCATCACTCTCAAGATTGCCTCAGGGGCCAGGACAGTGCTTGGGCTCCTGCCTTCACATCTGCCTTCTAGATGTAAGGAAGCTAGAAGAATGAGGGAAGGCATTCAAGGGCAAGGACCAGCCTCTTAACTGAGTAAGTATTCTAGGTACTTAGCAGGCCGGAGATCTCCTGGTCCAAGGATGAGGTGCAGGACTGGTAGAGGTGGGGCACTGAAGCCTGCAGGTCCCTGTGGTTTAACTGTGTGATTGTTGTTGGCACATGTCCTGACCTCTTGGGGTCACAGGTCCCTTCATTGTTGACAGGGATGCTGCTGGGCTCCCCTGCGGGCTCATCCTCAATTTTTAGCGATGGAGTGTATGAGAGGCACATGGACCCCCTGCTGCTACCAGGCGAGCTCGCAAGCCCCAGCCAGGAGCCTGGAGCTGGGGAGATCCCACCACCTTCTGAGACACGTAAGTGCCCAGCCAGCCTGGCAGCCTCTGCTGGGCCTTAAGTGGGGTGGTGGGCAGAGGCCTATGGTTGGGAGAGGGCAGGAGGGCACCCAGGGAGGCAGGGGCCCCAGGGTCCATGCTGTCATTGGAACTTCCTCTTGTAGTTCCTCTGAACATTAGACATATCATTGTTTATTAAATTAGTCTTCAGAGAATACGCAGATCATCCGTACTTAACACGAATAGTGAAAAAGCATCAATACATGAAGAAAAGAGGAATCTCCCAACCCCCCACCATGTACTGTCTACAAATAAAGTGTCTCAAGTGTCCTGGTGCACGTTCACTCATGTCTGCCTGCACATCACACATGCACATTCAGAGCCTGGCGTCGGGCTCCCTGTGTGTGATGTGCTGTGTTTGAGTGCCTGCTGTTCAAATGGGGTGCTGTAGTTGGGTCTGGCTCTTTAACTGCCCAGCATCCACCTGCTCAGCCCGTCCCCATCCTAGAGGTGCACTCTCTGCCCCTTGGGGTGAAGCTGCCATGACACCTCCTGACTTACATGCCCATATGTGGGGCTCTGGTCACTGAGTGGGGTCCTCAGGGCCACTGGGCAAATGGCGTATGAGTTTGACATTTCACATACAGTAGAACTGTCGTGGTTTTCCAGAAGTTTTGTGGCTGTTCATTACCAGCATGAGGGGGCACCCACTGGCCCGCATACAGGCCAACACTATGTGGCGTTGCTTTTTAAGATTTCCACAAAGGCTGGACACAGTGGCTCATGCCTGTAATCGCGGAACTTTGGGAGGCCAAGGCAGGCAGATCACTTGGGCCCAGGTATTTAAGACCAGCCTGGGCAACATAGGGAGACCCTGTCTCTACCAAAAAAAATAAAAAATTAGCTGGGTGTGCACTTGTAGTCTCAGCTACTCAGGAGGCTTAGGTAGGAGGATCACTTGAGTTCAGGAAGTAGAGATTGCAGTGAGCCAAGATCATGCCACTGCACTCCAGCCTGGGCAACAGAGCAAGACCCTGTTTTAAAAAAATCAACCAACCAGGCTGGGTACGGTGGCTCACACCTGTAATCCCAGCACATTGGGAGGCCAATGTGGGCGGATCACGAGGTCAGGAGTTTGAAACCAACCTGACCAACATGGTGAAACTGTGTCTCTACTAAAAAATACAAAATTTAGCTGGATGTGGTGTAGCATGTCTGTAATCCCAGTTACTTGGGAGGCTGAGGCAAGAGAATCACTTGAACCCAGGAGGCCGAGGTTGCTGTGAGCCAAGATGGCACCATTGCATTCCAGCCTGGGCAAAAAGAGCGAAACTCTGTCTCATTTTAAAAGGGAAAAAAGAAAAAAAAAAAAAGACTTCCACGAATCTAGTGGGACTTGAACAGGCATGCTGCTTTGTAAATCAGCGACGGATGCACTGTCTGTTGAGCCTTGGATGCTGCTGTCACATGAGTACACTGGGGTCTGTGTGGGAGGCAGCAGAGGCTCCTTGACCCTTTGGGGCACCTGGCCACAGGGAGCTCATTGCCTCAGCTCTGCCTTTCATTCTCCCTAGCCTGGCTTTCTCCGGACCCCCTGTTTCTGGAACAGAGGAGGGTTGGGGAAGCAAGGACTGAAGAGGCCAGCCTTGCCAATGCCGAGCAGGTGGGTCAGTGTGAGCCCAAGGGTAAGGGGACTTGGCCTCAGCTTAGAGGCATCCCCATGCCCGTCCCCAGTACTCAGCAGAACCCACCCTGGTGGGAGCTCGAGGGCGGAGTCTTCGGGTGCACAGGGGGCTGCCTGCTGTAGGGCACCTGGGTTGGGCCCCTGGCTGGGGCTGGCTGCTAGCCTGCCCCTGTGGCTGTGGGGTTGTGGCGGGTCCACCCTTCTCTAGGGCAGGTGGAATGTCTCAGCCATGGCTGTACTGCTATTTCAGAAGCTGAAGTCCTTTCCAGAGGATCCTCAGAACCTGGGGGAGTGGGGCCACCTGGACCCTGCTGAGGAGAACCTGAAGAGCTACCGGAAGCTGCTCCTGTGGGGTGAGACTCACTTGCCTCGGGCTCATGCCCCACTCCCTATCCCCTTCCACAGGGTTTGGTATAGGACACTGACCCCAGGGGCTTTGGCTGGGACACTGTGATGTCTTACATGGATTTGGACTGCCACGTGTTTGAGCTTGAATTTATTTGCCAAAGCCCCCACTTTTTCTGGTCTAAACATCTGAGTTTTGCCCTGGCCCTGCCTGTAGGACTGAAGCCTCGGAGTTTCGAAAGGCCTCCTGGCCACAAGGTGCTGACATTCTCACCCTCCTTGCCAGAGACATCCTTACCTGCATGGCGTGGTGAAGGGTCTCTTTCGTAGACGTTCTTGCCCCAGAAACCCTCCTTGTAGGGAGGCCCTCTGCTCAGACTCTTAATGTCACATCTTTAGCTTTGCTTTCCCTGAGTCCTGCCTCCGCCTGCCCTGTCACCCTTCCCGCCTCGCCATCTCTGCTCCACTGTCCATGGGCCTGACAGGACTTAGCTTTGGCGGGGGTCCTAGTGCAGAGAAGAGGAGGTAGGCTGCAGCCTTCCCTGGCGGGCCCACGACACATGAGGACCATCAGTTACTTTGTGTTGGTGCCTCTTTTACTACTTGGTTTTTAACCCCACTCAGGGTATCAGCTTTCCCAGCCTGACGCTGCCTCCAGACTGGACACTGAGGAGCTCCGGTTGGTGGAAAGAGATCCACAAGGAAGCCGCCTCCCAGGTGAGGTTGGGTTGAATTGGTGTTGGGGCTGTTGGGGTTCACTTTTTCTTCAGAGGCAGAGGGGTCCCACGCAGTGCCATCAGTCCCAGCAAAGACCTCAGTAATGACTGCTTCACCATTTCCCCACCACCGTGTCAGAGTGAGGCAGGAATCCAGTAACGTCCCTCCTATCTTGCTGCATGACAGACCACCCCAAGACTGGGTCAGCAGAAGCAGCAGCGATGTTAGTTGCCAGGATCTGTGGGTGACTGATCCCGGGGGTGGCCGTTCTGCCCCATTGGAGGCTCTCTGTTAGCACACAAGTGAGAACACCTGGAGGTGGACTTGGGCTGGAGGGCCCCGGGTGCCTGTCAACAGGGGGCTTGTTGCTGGGGGACTTGGCCATATCTTTTGACCCTGCTCTCCTCACTGGCAGCTGGGCCCCAGGGAGCCCTGCAGGAGGGTGTGCTCTGAGCAGGCTCTGCTTGCATCGCGCATCTGTGGCCAAGCTGGTGGCCAGGGTGGAGACCTCCAAAGCCATGGTTTCCAGCGCTTGCGTTCAGTGTGGCTGTCCTTCCCGTCCTGTCGGTCGCATTTGTTGTTATAGGCCTCCAGGTCCCACACGCAGCAGCAGGCGTGGGGCGTGCGCTTCTGGGCAACCTGGGAGGGACAGCAGTGCTTCCAAACAGCTGTCAGCTTGAGCTCCGCAGGGGTCCAGAGCATGGACCACTGTGCCCTGTTCTAGTAGCTGAGGCTCGGCTGAGTCCTCTGCCCCAGGGCCCTGGCAGGGCCACTCACGCTGTGGCTCTGACCTGGTTCCAGAAGGCGGGAGGCGTCAGGAGAGTGCTGGGTGCCCCTGCAAGGAGGCTGCCCCTACACAGGAGCTGCCTACGGAGGCGCCCCCAGGGGATGCCCTTGCGGAGCCCCTGTCCGGCACTGCTGAGGAAGAGGAAGAGCAGCCTGGGAAGGCCCCAGATCCTCAGGACCCCCAGGACCCTCAGGACCCTCAGGACCCCCAGGACCTCCAGGACCCCCAGGATGCAGAGTCTGGCTCTGCCTCCGGAGCGCAGAGGCAGTCTGTCATCCGGCAGCCAGCCCTGGACAAGGGTGCGGCAAGGCTGGGAACCAAGAGGCCACACCCCGAGGATGGGGATGGGCAGGGCCTTGAGGGTGTCTCCAGCGCCAGCCACAGCGCGGAGCTCATGGCAGGGCAGGGCCCAGGGGCTGATGAGCCGAGCTTGTCCCGAGGGAAGCCCTATGCCTGCGGCGAGTGTGGGGAGGCCTTTGCGTGGCTCTCGCACCTCATGGAGCATCACAGCAACCACAGCGGTCGGAAGCGCTACGCCTGTCAGGGCTGCTGGAAGACCTTCCACTTCAGCCTGGCGTTGGCTGAGCACCAGAAGACCCACGAGAAGGAGAAAGGCTACGTGCTGGGTGGCATCCTGGGCCCCTACCCGCCCACCCGTGAAGCCCAGGTGGGGGCAAGGGTGGGCGGGCCCCCAGAGAGCAGGGAGGATGAGGCTCTCTCCGCACCCCCAGAGGCGCAGAGGTGAGCCACTGTGCTGTCCCAGAGGGACCACCCTGCCGGCCGAGAATCCCAAGAGTCATCAGGCCCTTCCACGCCCCTGGGTGGCGGCTTCCTGTGGTGTCTGTGGATGTCATCTGCCTGTGCCCTGAATCAGCTCCTGAGGCTAAGCGCTCCCAAAGAGAAGGATCCATGGGAAGCCCTCACCTCTTTGTAAACACACCCTGGGCCAGTGCTTACATCCGCGGGGAGCCGCCGGATGTGGAAGAAGACTCCCGCTTTCCTGCAGCCGTTTAGTGCCGCCCCATGCTAGGTTATTTGACATTGTGCAGTGTAGAGTTGCCTTAAAGTGCGTGATCTGCCAGTGCTTTTTTGAAGTCACCCTTGCCCTGATTCCTCCCGTTTGCGCTCCCCAGGGTTGCTCAAGTGGAAATTTTGTCATCTGTTTAGCCTTTTCCCTGCGTGATGTCAAGTTCACTTCTAATCTGCAAAAGCAGAAGCTGTTTCCTAGTTTACCTCATGTGTCTTTACCTGTATGGAGTAGCTCTCAGAGATTACAGAAATGCTTGCATCCTAATGCAGGGTTTTCAGACCGTGGGTCCCAGCCCATTAGTAAATTGTGAAATCAATTATCAGGTGGCCACCAGCATTACACAGCAATGAAGCAGAATAAAATAGTCTAGAATGCATCATGTAGTAAAGGCAAATACTGTTTTGTGAAACTTTTCAGCCATACATCTAAATAAGAGAACTGGTTGCAATGTAAGACGTATTTCTTGCTGGGAAGTTGTAATCAAAATGGTTGAAAACACCAATAAAGATCTGTCTGTCTGAGCAAAGGAGACTAAACTCTTTGGGCTACATAAGGTGATCTTTTGATTGATTGCATTTATTCTCAGACTACAGTATTATTCCCATTGCCTGCGCATAACCTTAATTACTCCCTATAGATACAGAAACTGGTGCCTCTTTTCTGCCACTGTGTTGAAGCAGGTGGTCTGTTGTAATGACCCCCAAATCACAAAGGCTTAACGTAAATATTTATTCATGGGCCAGGTGTGGTGGCTCACACCTGTAATCCCAGCACTTTGGGAGGCTGAGGTGGATGGATCATGAGGTCAGAGTTCAAGACCAGCCTGGCTAATATGGTGAAACCCAGTCTCTACTAAAAATACAAAAAATTAGCCAGGCACAGTTACACACACCTGTAGTCCCAGCTACTCAAGAGGCTGAGGCAGGAGAATCATTTGAACCCGGCAGTCGGAGGTTGCAGCAAGCTGAGATCTCACCCCTGCACTCCAGCCTGGGCAACAGTATGAGACTCCGTCTAAAAAAAAAAAAAAAAAAAAAAAAGTGTGTGTGTGTATGTATACACACACACACTCACAGTCCATTGTCCTGTGTTAATGTTGCTGTTGTTTATATATTGGTTTACACTTTGCTCCATGCAGTGATTCAAGGATCCAGATTCCATCCCTTTTGTAGCTTCATTCTTCACTACACTTGCTTCACTTCCCCTTGGAGCATGTGGGGAAGGCCACACCTGTTCATCTGGGAGATGACACACTACTCACATATCCTTGGAGAGAAATGATCCTATGGCCCCCAGTCACTTGGGCCTGGGAACTGTCAGTCGCTTGGAGTGCCTGTCTCTGCAACAGTTACTAAGCTTAGTTCTCCTCTTAGCCTATCCACCCCTAAGCCCTAATCTGAGTGTGGCTCTGGTAAGAAAAAGGCTAAATTGTACCCTGTCAGCTCATTTTCAGCTGAACCTGTGAGCTCACCTTCTTGCACTGCTACAGGGAGCATCCCCTATGATGTGTCCCAGTCAGCTCTCAGGCTGTGGGTGATGGTCATTTGTTACTTATAGCCCTGCCCTCCATGTTGAGTTTCCCATTTCCTGTCTCATTTAGTGTGCAGCCAGATGTCTATGCCTTTTTTTTAAATTTGGAAATAACTACATATTTTTTTAAAAGGCACAAGAATTAAAATAATGCACAGATCATCCACACCCCCTCACCCAGACCCACACCCATTAACATTCAACCCTGCTTACCCCATGGCCTGCATGTGTGCACCTTCCACCACCCCATTCAGGGTGTATAGTGTCCACATTCCTCCTGTCAGTGATGTTCTCTTTGCTCACCTGGTCAGAGTGCAGTTTTTCCACTGTATAGTTAACTGGGCCAGATGCAGAGCCTTGACACCTGTAATCTCAGCACTTGATTGAGGAGGTTGAGGCTGGGCATGGTGGAGCACACCTGTAGTCCTGGCTGCTTGGGAGACTGAGGTGGGAGGATGGCTTGAGCCTGGGAGGTCGAGGTTGCAGTGAGCCAAGATCAAGCCACTGCACTCCTGCCTGGGAGACAGACCTTGTCTCAAAGTAATATAGTTAACTTGTTCTCCTTTTAACTAATAAGAATTGGTGGGAAGAGCTGGGTGTGGTGACTCATGCCTGCAATCTCAGCACTTTGGGAGGCCGAGGTGGGAGGATTACCTGAGGTCAGAAGTTTGAGACCAGCCTGGCCAACATGGTGAAACCCCATCTCTACTAAAAATACAAAAATTAGCTGGTCATGGTGGCGGGTGCCTGTAATCCCAGCTACCCAGGAGGCCGAGGTAGGAAAATCGCTTGAGCCCGGGAGGCAGAGGTTGCAGTGAACCGAGATCGTGCCATTGCACTCCAGCCTGGGTGACAGAGTGAGAATCTGTCTCAAAAAAAAAAACAGGTGGGAAGATACTTTAAGATCATGCAAATATCAATGATCTTTAGTTGCAAAAAGATAAAATATATAATGCAAATATCCTGCTCCTCATCAAAACTTCTTCCTACATTTATGATTCTCACCTGAATCCATTATTACCAGGGTGGTGATTTTCCAGCACCAGCCCTCCCTCCATGCTGACCAGCAGGCCCTCAGCATCCTACTGCCAACCAGCACTCTTCCTTCTTCACAAGAATTTTTTTGTCTTAAGAATTTGACTCAGGGATTTCTGTTTATTCAGTGGTTTATAACTTGCTGCTGATCGTACTTTGGCGCTCAAGTTCTCCTAGATGAGGCCAGTGAGACTCCCTTCAGTTGACTTCTACATCCTGTGACATGCCTCCATTTTTTTTTTTTTTTTTTTTTGGTACTTACTTTTTGGTGTAGTAGGATGTTCCTAACCCATCTTTCTATCCTTCTTCAGCCCTGAAATTGGTCATGTCTTTGAAGAACTAGTTCCTTTTAGTGGGTAATGGCATTAGAGACCAAGATCTAGGTGCCAGGTGAGGTGTCTTCTGCTGAGCTATGAAATACATGTGCATATATGACTACACATAGGTCACACACAAAGATGTGTCTGTGCACACACATACATGCCCAGTAAGACCTCCAACTCAATTGATGAGTTCCTCCAGCCCACATTTGTATGTCTTTTCTTTAACATTGAGAGCCCTGGCATCCCAAAATTCAGCATTTTACTAATTTGATGAATATTAAGATAGATCTAATGTAGTTTCAGAATTTCTTTTCCCAAACCACTACCAAAAATGAACTGATTGCGATTTTGGGATTTGTTTGCTGTTTTCCTACCACCACCACCCTGTCCAGGATGTCAGGAGCACAAATGGATGCTTTATTGGGGATAGAGACAAAAATAACAGCTAGATATTCCCACTTGTTAACCTCAGGGGCAGCAGGGCTGGTTCAGGCATTTGAGGCAATGGGTCTCAGCTCCCATACAAAAGTGCAGCAACGTGTACTGGCAAGACAGACAGGTGGGGTGAGGCATGAGAGAGAGGCTCAGGTCTGTCCAGTGGAGTTGGCAGGGATGAGACGTGCAAAAGGACAGACTCTGGAGGGCAAGGAAAAGCCCTAGGCAGGAGGGCAGTGAAGAGGAGTAGAGTTCAGGGCGGGTTTATACAGGGTATGGGAAGGTAGCTGTGTGCTAAGTAAATAGGAAAAGCAAATGAGAGATGGAAACCTGGAAAGGTGGGAATACATTTCAAAGGGGAAATGCTTAATGACCCTCTGTTATGAGCTGAATTGTGTCCCGCGCTAAATGTCATATTTTGAAACCTTAACCCAGAATCTGATGATATTTGGAGACAAAGCCTTTAGGGAGGTAAATAAGGCTAAATGAGGTTGTTGGAGTGGTGTCCTTATAAGAAAAGAGGCTGGGCAATGTGGCTCACACCTGTAACCCAGCACATTAGGAGGCTGAAGCGGGAGGATCCCTGGAGCCCAAGAGCCAGCCTGGGAAACAGCTAGACCTCATCTCTACAAAAGATTTAAAAATTAGCTGGGTGTGGTGGTGCGTGCCTGTAGTCCCAGCTATTTGGGGGCTGAGGTGGATGGCATGAGCCCTGGAGGTCAAAGCTGCAGTGAGCTATGATACACCACGCACTCCAGCCTGGGTGACAGAGCAAGACCCTGTCTGAGAAAAAGCAAGGATTGGCTGTGGTGGTTCACAGCTGTAATCCCAGCACTTTGGGAGGCTGAGGCAGGTGGATCACCTGAGGTCAGAGGAGTTCGAGAGCAGCCTGGCCAGTATGGCAAAACCCTGTCTCTACTAAAAATTACAAAAAATTAGCAAGGACTGGTGGCAGGCATCTGTAATCCCAGCTGCTCAGGAGGCAGAGGCAAGAGAATAACTTGAACCTGGGAGGTGAAGGTTGTGGTAAGCCGAGATCACACCACTGCACTCCAGCGTGGGTGACAGAGCAAGACTCCGTCTCAAAAAGAAAAAAAAGAAAGAAAGCCAGGCAACCAGAGATTGCTTCCTCTCTGTGCACACATAGAGAAAAGGCCATGTGCAGGTGCAGATACAGCAGGATGGCAATCTACAAGCTTGGAAGAGTGGCTTCACATGGAACCCACTCTGACTTCCAGCCTCCAGAACAGGGAGAAAATATTAATAAATCCCTGTTGATTCAGCCTTCCAGCCTGTGGTGTTTTATGATGACAGTCCAAGCAGACAAATACATGTCTGCCATCACTATTTGAGTTGAGGAGAGTTTTATGTCAGTGTCAACTAGTGCAATCCTTTTGGAAAGCTAACAGTCCAACTGTATTCAGAAACAATATGGGGCCAGGCACAGTGGTTCAGACCTGTAATCCCAACACTTTGGAAGGCCAAGGTGGGAGGATTGCTTGAGCCCAGGAGCCCAAGACTTGCCTGGGCAACAAAGTGGGACCCCATTCTCCACAAAAAGGGGAAAAAAAGGACAAAATATATACACAAGGATGCCAGTTTGCATGAAGTTAAATACTGTGACTTAAATATGAATGATAGCGCCATTCAAAGAAATAGTAAAAAGGCATAAATGATAATTAAGACTAGCAAAATAGAAGATAATTTCTAAGTGTAGTTCAAGAAGTAGAATGCAACTCTTATTTCTGTTGTAACTGTATAACAGTGGGCATTAGTTGTCAAATCCTAGCAGAGAAAGTACAGAAATGCAAATAGTGGTTGGGTTAGGGTCATGAAATTACAAGAACATTTATTTCAGTTTTTGGAATTCCTTTGAAAGTTATATTCATCTACAGGGCTTTTTTTTTTTTTTTTTTTTTTTTTTTTTCCTCTCCTGATATGGAGTCTTGCTCTGTCCCCTAGGCTGGAGTGCAGTGGCACAATCGCAGCTCACTGGAACTTCTGCCTCCCAGATTTAAGCAATTCTCTTGCCTCGGTGTCCCGAATAGCTGGGATTACAGGCGTCTGCCACCATGCCCAGCTAATTTTTGTATTTTTATTACAGACAGGGTTTCACCATGTTGGCCAGACTGGTCTCAAACTCCTGACCTCAAGTGATTTGCTCGCCTCAGCCTCCCAAAATGCTGGGATTACAGTCGTGAGCCACCACACCTGGCCATGGGCCTTTATA